CAGGAACCAATAAATGGATCATCCTACCATACATAATAGACATTTCGGAGCATACAGCACGACTACTAAGACCATTTGGAATAGGTGTTGCACACAAACCAACAGAATTACTTCAATCAATCCTATGTAGACCAAAGGACAAAATGACAAAGGAAGGAAAACCAAATATCATATACAAAATAAATTGCTCAAACTGTGACAAACACTACATAGGACAAAGTGGACGACCTCTTCAGCTTCGTTTACGTGAACTTCAATTAGCAGTCAAACGCCTCCACAGTTCTTCGCTTATATCCATACATACCGACAATTATGGACATACATTCGATTGGGACAATGTGGAAATACTGGGTAGGGGGAGCACAAAGAACACTAGAGAATTTTTAGAAGCTTAGCACTCAGGTCAATAAGCAATCAACAAACACATTGACATTTACCCAATTTATCAACCAATCAGAAAAATCATAGGTGACATAGGATCAAGAAACAGATCAAAAGAGGGATGCAATGAAAACAAAGGTGTAAACAACGACAGGTTTAAGGTCAACAACAACCCATCAAGATCGAGGTTAGAAGAACAAGCTACAGGTCAAACGTGGAGAAATTCCAATACTTCACTTCACTTCTATCTGAAGTTTGTGTTGATGATGTTGTTCCGTAGAAGAACAATGAAAGCTCCACAACCAAAACATCCAACTCAGAGAACCAAACACCACCACCACGCTAATCATATAAGATGTAATGGAAGAACAGTGCTATTCAGTTGAATTCTCACTCAATGGTCACAAATATTCAATAACAAAGATAAAATAAAGATCGATTTTTCCATTTTTTTCATTGAAATCAAAAGGAATTTCGAATTCTGATTATTTGTTTTCAAAAATAGTCAAAGAAAAGATGAAACACCCAAGAATCATTTTCTTAAAAATTTAGCTTTCTATGGTTCTGGTGTGTGCTCCAGTAAAAATTGGCTTCTTGTACAATTTTCTGAATTCATATATATAGATCAAAGTTCAACCACTTTTTACCATAGAATTTATGTATAATTTAGAAATTAATAACTATCAACCAACACCAAAGTCACAATTTTCAATACAAATGTCAAGACAGTTCTATTGTATGAGGCAACAACTTGGAGAGGATACAAGTGTTTATTACCACACATGTCTACGCAAAATACTTCAGATTCGCTGGCCAGATACCATCAGCAACAACCTACTGTGGTAGAGAATAAACCAGATTCGAATGGAAGAAGAAACTAAGAATAAGCGGTGGAAATGGATAGGACATAAATTGCAGAAATCAACCAACTTCGTCATAAGACAAGCTCTCACTTGGAATCCTCAATACCAAAGGAAAAAAGGAAGGCCAAGTAAAACATTACGCCGGGAGATGGAGATAGACATGAGAAGAATGAACAAGAATTGGACAGAACTGGAAAGGGAGGCTCGTAACAGAACCAAATGGAGAATACTGGTGGGCGAGCTATGCTCCATTGGGTGGAACAGGCGTAGTTAAGTAAATAAGTAAGTAAGTATGTTATTTACTGAATTTTAAATCGGGTTTTTTGTTTATAAGTCCAATCTATCCGATGTTAAATATCAATGATATGCTTTGAAGTGTTCACTTGAATAAGTTTCCAAATTGAACTGAAACTATGTCAGTCAGTAATAATCACAATAAATCAGATTACCGTGGTATAAGAGAGACAGAGTGAACGAGAGAGATAACTGATATTAGTACATATGTAACAATCACACATTGTATGGAATCCTAAGTATGAAGTACCAATTAACAAATGAATTGCCGTTGGAAGTTGAGTGAATTTCTTCAAAAAAATTCTGTCAAGTGTTATCATAATAACAAAAATAATACTGATAATAATAATAATCATATTTGTCAATAAGTTTAACTAAAGTAACTGCAACGAACGAGGTTGTATGAATATTATTATTAATCAGACTATTTATTACCATCTACCTAACTGTTAATTAAATTAAGGCCAAAAGTTTGCTAAACAACGAAAGAACTAGGTTGACTATACAAATATAGATATATATTTCTTCTGAATGCGAAGCTTTGGCTTTACAATCTGATCAGTTGTTATTGATTTAGTCATCTGTAAGATTCTTCGCTGTTGACTGGTTTTTGGCAGATGGTTGTGAATATGATATTCTATTTGGCTAATTCGTGTACTCAGTGAACTAGAATCACGTTTTTCATAGATTTAACAACTACTATACCATGAAATTGAAATGTGCTCGTGAATGAAATCATGAATCCATCATTGTTAGACCATCATCTGGAAACATGGAAGCACTGGATCGGTTAGTATGGGACTCTTTAACAATGTGCACATACAAGAATTGAAGCAAACTCTTTCAGCTTAACCTGTGGACCCCTGAGCAATGGATATCTAGCGATCATAGTGACTAACTCTGATTAACCTAAGGATTTTTATGCCAACTCAACCAATTGTCTTCATTAATTACTACCTACGCCCAAAAGGGGTTGAACTCTGCCGGTCATAACTCATTATAACTCTGATAATCTCCTTACGAAACTAGTCGCTAGTGATCTGGGATCTACTTGAACTGGTTTAACAATAATTGATTCATGATTTTGACAAAGAATCTTTTTCAATTATTCAGTTAATTTTATTCGTCAAAATCAATACTGTCAATTTTCAATTGTCCCCATAATTATGTGTATTCTTTGTTATTAATAGTGATTTATAAGTCTTTTCGGTTTGAATTTTAACTGTATCCTACTGAAGTGAAGGCATAATTTTCTATAGGGATGAGGTTAAATTGAACAGTAGATTACAGCAAATAATTCAACCATGATTGTTAATATTATTATTATTACTATTAGTTAACGCCGCCTGGAGGCCATCTAGGGCTACTCTCGGTCCAAAGCCTGGATATAGGAGGAGGAGAGTGGGGCCTAGGTTGGCGACCTCAACCCACAAAAAAACAGACTCGCTAAAAATGCGCTAACCAGAAAACATAATTCAAACGATTTTTACTCTGCCCTGGGAGTTAAGACGTTTCATGATGAAAGCAAAGTTTCTTTGGATGTCACAAGGCCAATGCTTCGTCTGACAACCAAAGTAACCATTCTTTTAGGTAGCACAAAGAACAATAGAGTATTTTTAGAAGCTTGACACTCAGGTCAATCAGCAGCCAACAAACACATCGACATTGACCCAATTTATCAACAAATCAAAAAAAAAAAATGATAGGTAAACAATGGATCAAGAAACAGATCAAAAGGAGGATACAATCAAGCAAACATACTGAAGATCAACAGCAACTAATCAAGATCGAGGTTAGCAGAACAAGCTACAGGTCAAACGTGGAGAAATTCGAATGCTTCACTTCTTCTATCTGAAGTTTGTGTTGATGATGTTGTTCAGTAGAAGAACAATGAAAGCTCCACAACCAAAACATCCAACTCAGAGAACGAAACACTACCACAAATGAAAAAACACTTTTATGATATAAAACATATCGATTTTATAAACTCTAACTATATCATGCGTATATGGTAAGAATGAGCTTCCAAAAAATATAAAGAATTTACCAGAACATAACTTGAAAAACAGTTTACAGGCCTAAAAGAAATTACTTGTCAGCTGAACATCAACTTTCGTATTGAATTGTCAACGAATACAGCTCACTACCTTCAACAAGTTTCATCTATCGATGCATTGAAGAAAGGAAGTTGAATCAACTGACAGACTAACACAGATCACCCAGCTTCTTGTCGTTGCTAAACTGAAACTATTATTATTATTATTATTACTATTATTATGAATAAAGGCAACAGAAGCTTGTAATAGTCAGTTAACTTACGTTTTCAAAGAAAATCGATATATTCCCATTAGCATGTAATGTGCATGTTATTTGTGCTGAAAACAACAGAACATTCATTCATCATTGCTCATATGAAAAACAAAGTTATCAAGGCATCATTATCTTTTCAACGGCTACAATCAATAAAAACAAAGTCAACGGGAGATTGATTGAACTTCTCAATTCATCCTTTCAAATGATTAGAAAGTCTAATTTATGATTTTATAATATTCAAGGCATAGACATCAATTATGTGATTGATATACATTAATTTTCGGGCAGAGTTTTGCAGGTTTGTGTTTTTACTCATTTGAAATCATCAATCAATCAATCATTGTTAGACCACCATTAGAAACCTGAAAGCATTGGACGGCCGTTTCACCCTGGTATGTGACTGCTCAGCAGTGCTCATCCACGACTCCTGCACCTCACAGAATTCGAACCCGGGACCTTCGGTATTGTGCACGAACGCTTAACTATCGGAACACTGTGCCGGCGTTCAACGGTGTTAATGTCTACCTCTAATTGATCTACGGATGGATGCGCACTGCTGAGGAGTCCCATACCAGGACGAAACGGCCGTCCAGTGCTTCCAGTTTTCGAATGATGGTCTAACAATGATTGATTGATGATATACATTTAGTCTGAAAACTAAAAATAGTGTTGATGTTTTTTGGTGTAGAATGTTAATCGATATTACTCAGTTCAGTGTAAGTGCCACAGTTTAAATAGGGAAAATTTGTTTGTTACAGAATCGCTGATGAATAACCAAAGGAAAAGAGGAAGGCCAGAGGACATAATTATGCTGAGAAATAGAGAAAGATATGAGAAGAATGAACAAAAACTGGCGAGAACTAGAAAGAGAAGCCCAAGATAGAGTTGGGTTGGTGAAAACTGGTGCGCGGCCTATGCTCCATTGGGCGATGACAGGCGTAAATAAGTAAGTAAGTAAGTATCCTAAACTGAAAAACAATGAAACTGAGTGTTATTCAATTTGAACTGTGAACTTTATCTTAAAGATTTTCTCGACGTTTATTGATGAAGTGGTGTTAATTGGGTTGAAACCTTCACATGTCACATATATAACCAAAGCTTTATATTATGCATAGACACACATAGATATAAATGTGTATTATAGATAATTCAATGAACTGAAAATTGTTGCATACCACGTTCCTTCATTTCTTTTCCACCTTCATTATAAACTCGAAGATCGGACCATCTTATTGCAAGAAATGTGTCTACAAATGTAATAAATTTGGATCTGATTACTGGGTAGTAAAATTGCGAAAAAACTTATTGATTTTCGATAATATTATTTATGATTTTAACAAAAAATGCATTTGTTGCTTTAATTACATCTAAAACTATGCATTTTTCGTTGAACAACAGTGTGTATTTAGATCTGATAATAGTTACAATACCCCTGTTACCCTTCGTGAATCATATAGGCCGAAGACCACCATTCTCCAATCAACACTCTGCTCCACCTTCCTTTCAATGCTTTTTGAAGTACTCTTTACTGTGTTCTTCATTGTTTATCATCTATTTTGACCTTGTTGATTTCAAGTTGAAGCTACCCTTGTGACAATCATATGATTTTTATAGTGTGTCTCATTCACCTTCAGCGTTTTTTCCTAATATTTTCCTCATATGGATGCTGGTTTGTTCTCTAGCACAATAGGTTAGTACTGATGGTGACTGGACAACGGAAGTTAAGTTAATAAACACTTCTATCTTGAGAATGATGACTTTCCTAGTTCTCCGAGTTTCAACTTCATTTACCCGAAGTTTGTATTGACAATTGTGATATTGGTGTTGGTTGATAGTGGCTGTGGGTTTTAGATGTTCTCTAATCTGCATCAGATCTACCTTAATGTTACGCCTGCACGTAAACACGTCATTTTGATATACTTGAACTATTACGAGTTACCTAGTCGGAAAACGAGAGCGAGGATCGAGGATCCGGCGACATGACATGCTACTCGAATCCAATTATCCCAACCACCATATTGAGTGAAAATAAGAAGACTTGAATGTGGAGTAGAACCTGTATTCTACAAGCATCCAGAAAGTACGAGGTCCGAATTTAGAAGAGAATCAGGATCCCGGACTAGGGATTCGTGACCGGATACTGGTCCTGGTCCTGTTCACAAAACGTAACAGATAATGCGTATTTATACATTTCGGTCGAATAGAAAATAGCATCGAGTTCTGTGACATTGACAATTAAGACGACCAATAGGAAGCAACATTTGAAGTGACACTGATAGTCAGAACAACCAATAAGAAACAACATTGAAGCACATGACACTGATATCTAGGACGACTATAAAATTGACTAGTAGGAATGAACCAATAGGAATAGACCAATAATTCTCTTAGGATATTGGATGAATATCCTAACACTTGATTACCAGTGATGTTTCCCAGATATAAGAAAATTCTCTAAATCATCGAAAGGTTCCCTGTCAAGTATGATTTGAATGGTGCTCGACATGTTCATTTAATAGAAAGTCATATATACAAGAATAGTTAAAATTTTAAACTTTTTTTAAATAAAATATAAACAATTCCTCTCACTTGTATGAATTCTTTGTATATGGCTTGCTTTCTCAACTCCATAAAATACTTTGATCCATCCATGTTTTTCATCGGTTTTTGAGTTACCAATTTTTATCACACCTTGAATTGAGATTAAAAAGAAACATTTTATCAATGTTAACACCTATTTCATCTGAAACTGCATTAATAAGTTATGAAATCGTCGTCAAACATGACCAACTATGTAAATGCATTTGAAATTTAACTATTATTGACCAAGAATTTGTAGTGTGTGTACTTGACTGTCATGCCGACAAGGCCTGATTTCAATCCATTCTTCTCAAGTTATGATTCACTCGCTTTTCGACTTTGTCCATGATTCACTCATATGCTTAACTGTTTAAT